AAAAGTATAAAGAATATTGATATGGTTTCTGAAGGACTCCTTGCGCTATTGCACTGAAGTAGTGTATGGTATCACGGAGAAGCACACGGTATTACAGAAGATGCAATATTCAAAATGGGGTGCAGTTCAGCTTGGAGTAGGGGCATTTTGCCCTTCACAAATTGTAGACCCATCAAGTAGAGACTTCGAAATCTTGTGAAACCGCGAACTGATACGGGTTAAAGTTTAGAGAAACTTCCAGTCAACCCTTGAAAGGAATACCTGTCAGCCTTGGTGAACCATCAAATACAGCAATGGGAAGTAACGAACATGCAAGATGCCCCCTCCGGCCCATGCCAGACTGTGCCCAAAATGCAGTTGAAAATGTAAGACCGATGCAACGACTGTATACGAAGACATTGTTTGAAAGAGCAAACGAAGGACAAATTATCAACACTTCGTAAGTAAATAAGTAGAAAAGAGAACCACTACCATACGCATCTCCCTACATAGAGTCCCCGGACCTTGCCCGCTAGGAACGAATAAGATCTCGTTTTTATTTTGCCACTGCTGATCCGACGAATTGAAGAATTGGAGATTAGTTGAAGCAACCCTCACCACATAATCTTTTTTTCACGAATCTTCCATCCCTCGGCCCTTCACCGATGGAATAAGAACTCGGAACTCGTGCGTTTGAGTACTTGAGAATACAGTCGATATCGCCGTAATCCCGCGGGGCGTTGTCAGTAGGCGTAGAATGAGCCCATCTGCAAGTGCTTGCTCTAGCAATAGTACCCGCTTCAGGTGGAAAACAACCAGTGGTAGGAAACGCCGTGAGTGGGTCATTGCACGCCTCCTGACCATGCCATTGCGTTGCGACTATATCATATGTGATAATATCTTGCCTGAAGCCGCCTTCATAATTTGCGACTGACAAGGGAAGAATACCAACTCGCCATGGCCATTCAGGATGTGAGGAGACCCAGCGATTTAGGAGATTAAGCAATTTGTGAGCCGGAGTTTTGCGCGATCGCTCAAGAAGAAGTGAAGTTGTACCGATCAGCGTTGGTCGTAGGCCAGCGCAAAGTTTTTGCCATCCGGCGAGAGAGTAGATCAAGCGTTCAGATGTTTTGAGAGACTCGGAGATTCTCCTCCGTCGCGAACTGTAAACGCGAACTAAGAGGATAGAATCACCCACTTCTCTGCACTGGCCAACCCTTTGAATGTTTCCGCGGTAAGATTTTTTCATTCGGTTTCACGACCGCCGTACAATG